TGAAGTCACCTTGCTGCCTTCTCTCATGAGTGCACGGGCGCTGTGATTGGCCCGTAGTGTGATGACTTTGAGAGACTTGGGTTGCATCGGTGGAATCTTGGGACGTGGAAGAGAGTGACTGAGAAGATTCGGCACTGGAGGCATCCGTTGCAGGAGTGTCAGAAACATTAGCTGGAGCCTGAGGAAAAACACACATCCCACATTAATTTATTTAATTTTTCACATTCTGCCATTGAGAACTCAGGCCATGAACACACTGCAGCTAAATATGATCATCACTCCTGTTCTGAGTGAATAAATATTAAAGGGGTCATGAACTGAGAAATCAAAATTACCTTGATCTTTTGATATTTAAGATGTCAAAAACATTCTGTAAGTTTCAGAACTTAAAACATTCTCGTTAGTCTAAAAACAGCTCATATTAAAGCCAATCTGCCAAAACTACAGGTTTTAGAATGTGCCACGCTATGATGTAATAGTGTGGCTAAACTCCGCCTCCGCAGGAGAAGATCAACGCCTGCTTCTACATCACTGCCTGTTTAGCCCCACCCACCGGTTTGCGCACATAGTTGGTAAATGACAAGAGCGGCAAATGCAGGTCTACGCAGAAACAAAATGATAAACTTTATATGATGAACTTTATTGTTAATGAAGCACCAGACCAGTAAGAACGTGTTCCTTTGTTTACTTCATTTTACCACGGATTCGTTTACAAACAAGGCACAATTTAACGCAGAATTTTCAGAAAGATTGAAACTAAAAGACGATGCTGCGCTGACTATGTTTTATTGAATCCGATGTCGTACCACACAAGTGCGAGTAACCGTTTTCATTACGTGGTCACAATTGCTTTGTCTGATTAATATGTACTGAGTATTTATGTATTTTTAACCTAAAAAGCGTCCATCTATGATGAATGTACGCTGTCAAACATGCACAACTATTAGCCAATCACAGCAGTGGGTGTTTATTTCCGAGTCTACAATCTGCCACGCCTATTCAAACAGAGCATTCAGATGAGGGGGTCAAAACAGGACAGAAAAAAGACTATTACTTCTAAACTATGATGTTTTTTGATGTAAAAATCTTGAACATCATAAGTGGACCTCAGAGAATGGTATAAAATAAAAACAAACAAAGGCAGTTTATGACCCCTTTATTACTAAATTATTATAAAAAGTAATATATGTTCCATCTAGGATTTACCTCATTAATGTGAATTAGGAATCTATTGGACTCTGCTTCGGGGTCAATAACTCCACCCTTTTCCTTCTGCCGTTCCAGAACCTTCTGGAGGGCTGCCCATTTCTTTTTAAATTCCCCACTCATGACTGCATCGTCCTGCTGTTTGTGAAGGAATAATAAACACAATGTTCATGTGTGTCCACAGCATGTGACCAGTGAGCATACATGAGGGCGCTGAGCCTTCCAACTACACATCCTGGCATAGTCAGTTAACAAGAGAGACTGCACACGGGACAATGACGTGCTGTTTAAATAAAAAAAATCTACTGCTTAGCACAGAACACAAGGGTGACATTGTCCACTTGACATTTCTAACAATGACAAACGTCAGGCCAGTTTAGCTTGACTCAACTGCTAACACCGTATCCACAGAGAATGATACAGTGTGTCCGAGTGTCTTACCTGTGTGAAAACTGGAGCAGGAGAGGAAAGGAGGGCATCCAAATCATAGGTGAGAGGCTCTCGACACACGGGGCAAACAACAGCTAACTCCTGTTAATGAAACGAAAAACACATAATATATAAAAAAAAAAAACTTCCTTTTATTCAAGCTCACCTAACTGCCTTTTTATGGACTGCAATTAGTTAAGCTTTCATAGTGTAACACTGAAGTAAATTATACAGTAATAATAATAATGTAATACACAAAACTGTTGACTGGAATTTATTTCATACCAAATGAGTAGCATTTTGCTTGAAGTGAGGAAAACATATGAAAGTCTACAAAAAGAAGCCACACCTCTTCTTCCGTCCTGTCTCTGGTTTTATCCTCCTCCAGCTCCCTCTCACGGTCCTTCAGCTCCATCTCAGAGTGAGTGATGTAGCGGCCAAGACAGTGAGAATGGAAATAGTGATAGCAGCTGGTCTTAGTGAACACTTCCCCTTCCTATGGTTTTGAAAGAGGAGGAACAAGCACAACAACATTTACAATTTTTACAAACAGGCCACAAACCACACTAAGTGCATGTTACAATTAAAACACCAAACCTTAAAGCCATACAGACAGATGACACAGTTTCCATGGGGAATATTGCTCTCAGTCAGGATCTCTTTGGCTCTCTGTGAGGATGATATAGAGAAATGGCTTGAGACAAACACATGTTAGTAGGCACATACACTACCGTTTAAAGATGTTTTGAATGAAGTGTCTAATGCTCACCAAGGCTGCATTCATTTGATATAAATGGCAGTAAATCAGCAATATTGTGAAATATTATTCATTTAAAACAAAAGTTTTCTAATGTAATATATTTTAAAGGTCACATATTGTACACCTTTCTGGAGTTTTATTTTAGGTTTTGATGTCCTTAAGAATATATATTTGTGGTATAAGTACCAAAAACCATCTCAATATATTTTTACAGCTCCTCTCTCAGGAGCTCTGCTGAGAACAGGTCGATTTTGGCCTGTCTAATTAATATTCATGAGCCTCTCTTCGACAATATGGGACCTTTAAAATGTAATTTATTCCCGTGATGGCAAAGTTGAATTTTAATCAGTCATTACTTTTAATATGCTTATTTGCTGTTTAGGAAACATTTCTTACTATTTTCAATGTTTGTTATGCTACTTAATAAGTGATGAATAGAAAGTTCAAAAGAACACCATTGATTTGAAATATAATTTTGTAACATTATAAATGTATTGACTGTCACTTTTGATCAGTTTAATGCATCCTTACTGAATAAAAGCCTAAATTTCTACAAACATCTGAACAGTAGTGTATTTTTGGACTAAATAAGGAATCCAAACCTCTATGAGCTGATACAGTACAGGTGTCCCGATACATGACTCTGCCTCCATCTGCAAACTCCTCTGTAAACTGAGAGAAAAATAGCACGTGAAAACAATGGAAAAAAAAGTATACAGCTGAACAAGACATTTTACAGTTTTAAAACAGCAGTTTCTAATAATAATCAAACACCTGAGCAGTTTATCATCCGAGAGTCCACGTGGATTGTGAATAGAGATGCAAGGGGATGAATATGGGTACTGGAAGTGAATAAAAAATACTCTCAGAAGACCAACAGGGACACAAAGTTGCCAGTAAAGAAGTACCATTACCATAGTCAAATATTATAGCAATTTGACCAACAAACCTGAGAGTCCAGATCCATTGTCAAAGTAAGACGGACAAACTGAGACAGACAGTCCTCCGCAGTGGAGGGATAGAGCACCAGACTAACTGTCCACCCTCTAAATGAGACAGATTTGACAGATTTATTTTTGTACGGTTTAATGATACAGAATTATTATATCTCCATCAATTTATGAATAACTAAAAGAGCAATAAATGCTCAAATATTTACCCCTCATCTCTCTGATCAACACTGAGCTCATCCAAGTAGATGGACTGCAGCACTTCGATTTCAGACAGGACACTGTGGTGTCAAACAGATGTGAGCTGAATTTCGTGTAGAACTAGCTTCATGTAACAACACTGAGTATGACACATCAGATGGCCAAAGGGCCAAAGACAACAACTGCAGTAACACACTTGGCCATTTGTTTACTTAGATATTGACAATCTAACGTCTGATCAACTAACTATGGACTCTTTATGTTAGCCTCGGACCAAATTATTTTCTTACATACTTTTATACGTATGTAACGTTACTATTCGTTTTTTAAACGGTATGTACTAGTTAGTCACCTATGACAGCTCTCCTATATCGTAACCAATTGTGGTCTGTAATTCAAATAATTTAAGTCTAACAAATGAGATATTTTCAGTTCATATATCACACAACTACTGATTTATATGGGAATTCATAATAAATACACGTTTCTGACAGTATTTACCAGCAGCCCAATACTCACGCGCACTCGGCCGCCATGTTCGCGGTGACGTCACCCTCTACGACATCGGTCAGCTGACACAGAGACCTCTTTTCTTTATTTGTTCTGTTCCTGCCTTTCTTTATGTTCATTTGTTCATAAAAAAATCTATTTAAATGCATCTTTCTCTTTTAAGAGTCATTGTCAACTTTTTTTTTTCTCTTCTCTTCCATATGTTCAGATGACTTTGGATGTATTGTTGATACATTATGTGTAATGTATGCAAAGTTGTATTTCATTAATGTCATCTCTGAATTGTTTGCAATAAAACAATAAAAAAAAAAAAAACACAGAGCAGACTATAAAAACTATTATTCATTTCGATCTAAACTTAAAATCCCGCCTAGAGGGATTTTTTTTGTGTGGAATGCACAGACCTCTGATATTAATTGGAAAGATGCTTTGTTAAATCCATACAAATTTCGTATTTTGAACAAAGTTAAAGATGTAGTCTACACTAAAATACTCCCATGTAATGTATTTTTATTGAAATTCATGAACATCGACAACAACTGCACTTTTTGTGCTATACATGAGGAAGATGTGGCTCATTTGTTTTATACCTGTAATTTGTCTTGAATAGTTTTATCTGATGTTTTTTTGTCCCAAAAATGTTAATTATATGCTGTCTCTAAAAGATGTTATATGTTCTTACACACACCAAAGCAAAAGGTCTGAGTATGTTGTGAATTTCTATATTTTGCATGCTAAAGATCACATCCACAAACAAAAGTCTGCTAAACGCATTTCTAATTGTGATGTATTTTTAATGGAAGTGTAGTAATGGAAATGTAATTCTTAATGGAGTCAATGACAAAAATCTTTAATATTAGTCAATAACAAAAAGAATGATACATTGTTACATTTTATGGGGAAATTCTTTGCATAGTAATGTCCTCACTATACATTGCCATTATTTTCTTTTTTTTATGTAGACTACCTGGTATTTTATGGTGTCTTTTTTTAAAATGATCCCTTCATGTATATTCAGTGTAATTTGATATAAAACTTATTTAGTGCATTAAGAAAAAAGAAAAGACAGAGCTAACTGACAAAAAGATAGGAATTTCATTGATTTATGAGTCATAAACATATGACTCAGAGGTCAAATTAAATCAGCTAAAGAAATGGTTCTTCCACCATTTATTTAGCAGGTTAAACTCAGGAACAATTCTGGCTGAAAAACACGTGCATTTTAGCATTTTATACTGCAAAGGACAGCGAGCATTTAGTCAATCCAGCAGTAGTCGCTTACAGACATGCCTCTTTCACAACTGCAAGACGTTAGAAATTAACACTTGTGGGGTTTGTGATTTTTAAAATCATATTTTATTGCTAATTTATTATTTGCATTCATTAATGGCATATATCAAGTCAATTTTAATCCAACAAGAAACATCTCTCACTAATCACAGTGGAACACATAAGACAGTTTGTATATAGTGTCTTTCCTGGACCAGCCTTTTGATGCCAGTGTAAATCCATGCCAGTCAATTCCCCTTTTGTAACAAAAAAAAACAAAAAAACAACAACCTTACATTGATAAACATCTGTGTAAACAAACGCTGATGTTCGGCACATAATAGCAAGTTATTTTTTATTCCTCTTGGTTTTATCGAAGCGCAGTGTTAACATAAAAAAAGTCACATTTCTGAGCTGAAAACGTGACCCAAAGGATCAGAGTTGCAAAGGTGTTCGATTTATCCCTCTTTCCGTCTGTTCTGGCACCTCTGCTCTAACAGCACTTCTTCCCTTTCTTCCTCCTTTCTCTGTCCCTGTGGGAATTTATATGGACAGTGTCCTTTTCTCTCTCCCTCTGTCTTTCTGCTCGACTCTGGCTCTGTTTCTTGGCCCGAAGGACCAGGTGGGTGAAAGCCATGAACATCTGCAAACAGAACAGAATACAAGCCATAAAAATGTTACATATTACTTTTAACACATCAGAGTTGACAGAAAGACAAAGATGAATAAGCTGAAAGATACATAGTCTATTATTCCATTCAAGCCAACTTAAAATAAAATATTTTGGTTAAAGCTGCAGTCCGTAAATTTTGCCTCTGTGTCGCCATCTCTGTTTGAAAACCTGGAATTGCAGCTGTGTGCGGAATTATCTAGCTTGTGTGGGTTGTGAGTCGGCACAGCGCGGATTAATCTAATGTTTTGAAGAGTATGTGTGGCAGTCAGTCACCGCACCAGTGTGTGGATATTTACTGTACTTCGCAATCACAGATTCTAGCCTACGTCTTGGAATATATGACTCAAATAAGCATTTTCACCGTACTGTATATTGTCATCTGAACAAGTAACAAGTCTGCCACATTTGTTCTGACCAACTGAGGAAAAAAGCATTACCATAAATCTCGCTACCAATGATGATTAAATCTAAAGATCGGTTAGCTCATATCACATCAAACCGTTCAAATTATTATTATTGTTATACTTTATTCTCAAATTCTTTAAAATACAAATCTTTGTAATCCCAGGCTATCTGTAATCAGAAGCACATTTATAACTGGAATATAATTTAATTTCATTCACATGTGTTTCATAAACACAATCCTTTATGGATTACAATCCTCCATCAAAATGATACATTTAACGATCTGCCACCTGCAGGATCCACACATGCGATAGCCTAGTAGCCGGGACAACTTCTTTATGTTTTTTCCCCGCAAAAACCTACCCGTACCACTCAAATTAGAAAACATTATTATAAGCTAACCGTTGTGAATCGGGCTCCACTCAAATTAGAAAACATTATTATAAGCTAACCGCTGTGAATCGGGCTAAAGTAAGGCAATAGTTTTGAACACTGGCTGGTTATGTACTTGCTCAAATATTGATTTCAGATCATTTTTAACCAAAAAAAGTTACGGACTGAAGCTTTAAGTACTGATCTTAAATACTGAGGTCTTTTAAATACATTTAGGCTTAAATAAACTTAAATACTGAGGATTTTTGAAAGAATTTGGGCTTAAATAATGTGGATTTTTAAAATTAATTTAGGCTTAAATGATCTTAAATACTGATATTTTAGAATGAATTTGAGTTTAAATGAACTTAATACATATCACAGCATTAAAAAAAAACTCACCTCTTCTACATTGATATTCTCTTTAGCACTAGTCTCAAATAGCCTCACACCAACTGACTCTCCAAAGCGCAGAGCATCTTGAGTGTCCACAAGCTTTTTAGAAGGATCATCATTCTTGTTTCCAACTATTAGGGATCATAGTGGAAAGACATATTAAATGTTTGCCTTTGATACTACAACAAATTGAGAATATACAACCAAAACATCTATTTTCATCACATTGCAACTTAAAAAAAAAAAAGTAAAATGTATAAACCAAAAAGAAAAAAACTAACCTAAAATTTTGCAGACATTGTCACAGTTCTGTGATATCTCGTTTAACCATCTTTTCACGTTGACAAATGATTCTGGATTTGTGACATCGTAAACAATGATGACACCATGAGTGTTTCTGTAATACCTAGAGAAGTACAGCAAACACGTGAGGGGAAGACTGACGGAGATCACGAGAATGGTCAAACAACATCTTTAATAAGCAGCTAGACTGGAGCGAGGCTTACGTCGAGGTGATGGTCCTGAACCTTTCCTGCCCTGCAGTGTCCCAGATCTGGAGTTTAACTCTTTCTCCATCAATCTCTACTGTGCGGATCTTGAAGTCAACTCCAATAGTAGTTATGTAACTGCCTGTGAAGAGTGCAGAAGCATGTTTTTATATCTAGTCATAACACTTGAACTTCTTTAACACTTTCAAGCAAACATACACTCTCACTTTGTCTTGCTTTGCTCTGTCTTGGACTTGAGAACAGTGAATTAGATCATATATTTACAGACCCTTTGACTCATTTTCTGTCTTTCTCACACAGACACACACTTTGTGCCAAGCCGACTCACCAGAGAACGAGTTGTCTGCGAATCGTAGGAGCAAACTGCTTTTCCCTACACCTGCAACAGAGTCAGAGCAACATGTGTTAAATGTTCAGCCGTGATACCTTAGTACATGTTTTAATTAAAGGAGTCATATGATGCGATTTCAAGTTTTCCTTTCTCTTTGGAGTGTTACAAGCTGATTGTGCATAGATAAGATCCCTGAAGTTGCAAAGACTAAAGTCTTAAAACCAAAGAGATATCCTTTATCAAAGTTAAGACTCTGCCACACCCCCCTAAAACGGCTCGTTCTAACACGCCCCCACATATCTACCTCACTATGTGGCAATATTAGCATAATGCCACCCAAATGTGCACGCAAAGAAAGAAGGCGTGGTTTCAGTAACCGCAGTTAGTGTTGAAGCAGCCATGCCAGGGAGACGCTGTGTGTTTCTAGGCGAAAAATAATGATCTTTAAAAAAAGCATCATATGACCCCTTTAAATGTGACAGAAATTCCGAAAAGCATTTATTTTATAAAACATGATTATAATATTTAGATATTATTAAATGAACAGTTAAACATGAATATATAAAAATGAAAATGTGAACTAGAAATACAATAAATAAAAACAAGTGCAACCACACAGTGTAACTAGCTCTAGCAAATATCTCACATAGTCCATCTATACCATGCAATGTAATCTTAACATGTCCTTTTGTCACAAAGGCCACAATGCTCAGAGGTCTAAGGTTCAAAACCAACCAGAATCCTAACCAAAGCCTACAGAGACATGCCACTAGCTGAACAGTTAGCGTGTAAGTGGCCACAATGGACTGAATGAGGCAGCTGTGGTTAATACCACAATTAAATGATGAACTGTAAGATAGCACAACTGATATTTGCTTACAAACAAAAGTTCCCTTATCTGAAAGCGGATGTATAAACAGGATTGTTAAAGATGGCATTAAATTAGAAAATCAAATCACCCTATTTGTTTTTAAAATGCATGTTACTGATCTTAGTATGAACAATTCATCCATGTTTAGGTTTTCTTTTTTACTGTTTTTGACCTGGTAATGTTTAATCAAAATGTCATAACTGGACTTTCCAGTGAAACGACAGAATTCTCCAATCAATCTAGGACAAAGCCGTTTCACAGACCAAAACGTTGACCCAACATTCATAACGGTACGCATCCCTCCCAAGTTCATACTAGTGAACTGATCAAGTGACTCAATTCACTGAAGGGATGAGGACTGACATGACACACTTACACACAGTAGTTTCATTTCAGCTTTCCAGTTTGCGGTTAAATAGTCAAACTGCACAACAATGAGCATTCTTAGTGTACAAGGTGCTAGAGAAATAATCACTTATTTTATGCCATATATTAATGATTCTCTTATGGGGACTGTGTGTGCCTTGCTGGGTTTCAAAAAAAGGCTACATAGCTGAGTTGGTAAAAAGACAATTTGCTAGCATATGTATGAAAAACAGAAAAATACTAACTGGAGTCACCAATGATGAGCAACTTGAAGAGATGATGGTAGTCTTTTCCCGCCATTCTTCTTTCTGTTCAAAATGTGTCCTCGTGAAACAACAGCTTTCAACTCGGTCACGTTTCCGGTGTCTTAAAGTACCAGGTTGTTTACTGCGGAGGGTTTTGCCTGAAATACTGTGAGCATCATGCGATCGTCTTTCCAGTTTTCCTCAAAACTCAAGTGCAAAATGATGCATCAGTGTGATTTCAGTGCATTCCAATTCACGAATCAGTGATTTTGCATTGTCTGTAACACGGTTGCACTTTCAGTGCAATATTTTTAGTTCATCTTAAAACCCTCTTTCCAGTTATATTTCCATTGCTTTAGCCCACATTAGGGATCCACAGTTAAAATCTACGTGAAATTTACTCTTCGTCGCCTCGCCCTCAAGTGCAAACACATTACCACATTGTTGTGGTTAAGTATCAAATGACTCAGATTACAAAGTAAGCGGTTCTTTAGTCGCTGATGGCGCTCATAACTCAGAGCTATGAGTGCATCAGGAACCAAGTCATCCGGAAAACAGGGCAGTTTGTTTGAGATCCAAGTTGTTTCGTCTCCAAATCTCGATTTCTTAGATATACAGATGGCATCTCAGTCACAACAATCCCATTTCGCCTGTTTAACCGATGCATGCAGGGACTGGTAGCTTCCCACACTTTGAAAGATCACTGCTGCTCCAAAACACTGTAGGAATGCAGGTTCAAACCGGAAGTGAGAAAAGTCCCTGTCGTTCCCCTTTAAGCCCTAATCCTAAAAAAAAAAGGAAAGGGAAAAGACAGGTATTATGAATCTTGCGCGAATTTAGACATAAGGTTACCCCCCCCCCCATAACCCGGGACAGCAGCTGTGGAACTAAATTTAGCTTCTCCCACTCTGACAGACAAATGACACCCTTTCTGACACAGGTCGAAACCACATGCACCAGCTTTACGCTTGAGTTTAGGTACAGAGACCAGGATATATGCCCACACATATCTTGCCCCTCACAACTGAAACCAAAACAATGAACAGAATCATTAAAAGCCCACATACAACTAGCTGCTGAGTCCAGACAAAGCCAGAGATTTAGTAAACTGCCAAAAATGTTCCATGAAAACAGGAAGGGACGTGTTTTTCCTGAGCGGCCGTCGCGAGGAGGGCACATGTTTCTCATTAAAACGCAGTTCTGGTCTAAAACCATGCAGCAGGTTAAACACGAACGTCCTCCAGACACGTGATAATTTTAACACCAAAAAAAGGTGAAAGAGAAGTGAAACTGACACACCTAGGCTGAGCTCCGCTTATCAGGCAAGAAGAGAAAATCATTTTCGGTGCTAACAAAGCTAAATTCCTGAATACAAACATGCCCAAATTAAAAGTGAAACTATTTGACGCTTTAACTGTGTAGTACAACCGGATTTAACAGTCAATTCGAGGAAAAAAATAACAATAAGGGATAATCATTATGTAGAGGCAGATCCACTTTATAGTGTAAGGTTACCATAAACAGACGGTCCTTCTGAAATAAGCGACCTTGCGTGTTTACTATATGGAAATCAAAGGGTCACGCGCAGTATCCATAGAAACTCAAAATCAGGCATATGTTGCGATTTAACGGACACACCTGTAAAATCATGCGAAAAACATGCGATCCTACCAGACCTCAAGTTGAACTCTCGCCTTGATCTGCTTCTTAATTCCGTTTCTTTTAACCGCCGCATCAAACTTGTGTCCATTACTCAACTCGACGACTCCTCGATTGTAATTTGTTACTCAGTTGTTTTGAAACGCAGCTAGGCTAGCTACTTAACTAGCCGCAGATGCTCTTAGATAATAAGATCAAACTCGGATCTAAAGAAGAGCTCACCGAAAACACTTTAAACCACATACTCCGAGCACGCTGGGGAAATTACGGAAGACTTGGCACAAGTTGCTGTCGGGCGGTCGGTCAGTGTCGGGTCGGTCCTGCAGGCAGGGGAAAGCTCGGACAGTGTCCCAGCGGCCGCAGAGATCAGATCCGCCCCTCTGAGGCCGCCGCACCTGAATGTTGAGTCACTCTCATCCTCCTCCTCCTCATCATGTGCCTGAGTTTCCCTGTCTCCTCCTCCTCCTCCTCATGCCACTCCTGTTGCTGCTGCGATTGCCATAGCTATTCTGTCGCAACCCACCAGACCCACCAGCAACTTTTGTCCTCAGTGCTGTTACAGATTTTCTTGGCCCTGTCTGTTTTGTGTATATATCCAGTAGTCACCGCTGGAAAACAATAAAAATCTTCTCACACAAAGTCTTGGTGTCAGTACTGTTTTTTTTTTTTTTGGTTTTTTAACACTGATGTTCAAAAGTTAGGTGTCGGTAAGGTTTTTTGAAAGAATTAAATGCTTTTATTCAGCACAGATGGATTAAATTGATCAAAATTGACAGTGAAGACTGTTACAAAAGAGTTCTATTTCAGATAAATGCTGTTCTTCTGAACTTTCTATTCATCAAAGAAACCTGAAAAAAACTACTCCGTTGTTTTCAACATAATAATAATAATAAATGTTTTTTGTATTATTATTATTAGCAGCAAATCAGAATATTAGAATTATATCTGAAGGATCATGTAACTGGAGCAATGATGCTAACAATTCCGCTTTGAAATCACAGGGAATACATTACATTTTAAAATATATTCAAATAGAAAATAGCTATTTTAAATATTAAAAATATTTCAAAATTGTACTGTTTTGCTGTATTTTGGATCAAATAAATGCAGGCTTGGTGAGCAGGAGAGCCTCCTCATGCCACTCCTGTTGCTGCTGCGATTGCCATCGCTATTCTGTCGCAACCCACCAGCTGATGACATTCCTGCCACACACTGGAACTGGTAAGCTTGCATACAGAAACCGCATTTTTGGCCATAATGCCTTGATTCGCGTATAAAAATGCTGTATACGCTACCAGTCAAAAGTTTTTGAACAGTGAGATTTTTAATTGTTTTTAAAGAAGTCTCTTCTGCTCACCAAGCCTGCATTTATTTGATCCAACATACAGCAAAAACAGTAATATTTTGAAATAATTTTACAATTTATTTCTGTGATCAAAGCTACATTACTCCAGTCTTCAGTGTCACGTGATTCTTCAGAAATCATTCAAAGAGTTCTATTTCAGATAAATGCTGTTCTTCTGAACTTTCTATTCATCAAAGAAACCTGAAAAAAACTACTCCGTTGTTTTCAACATAATAATAATAATAAATGTTTTTTGTATTATTATTATTAGCAGCAAATCAGAATATTAGAATTATATCTGAAGGATCATGTAACTGGAGCAATGATGCTAACAATTCCGCTTTGAAATCACAGGGAATACATTACATTTTAAAATATATTCAAATAGAAAATAGCTATTTTAAATATTAAAAATATTTCAAAATTGTACTGTTTTGCTGTATTTTGGATCAAATAAATGCAGGCTTGGTGAGCAGGAGAGAATTCTTAAAAAAGAAAACATGAAAAATCTTACATTTCAAAAACTTTTGACTGCTAATGTAGGCAGACCAATAGGTTCTGAGATTGAAATCTTTTCAATCTGAAATTGTTTAAAAATAGACTCACTAATAGTTCATTAAAAAAAAGTTTTACACATAAAGAAATGAATAGTGCTTTAATAAAAATGTTTAAAATGATTATCACATACATGAAAATAATTTTCCAGTTGTATCAGCAGCCTAATAACATTGATTTTTACATGGAGCGGGTCGCCTCATGCGGGCTCAGGGCTGCGGTTTTGACAACGTGACCAACTGAATACTACTCACCACATTTCTGTTACCATTGTTTTGACCATTTCCTTAGACCAGGGGTGCCCAACCCTGCTCCTGGCGATCGACTGTCTCTTCAGTGTCACGTGATTCTTCAGAAATCATTCTAATATCCTGATTTGCTGTTCAAGAAACATTTATTATTATTATCAATATTTAAAAGTTGAGTACATTGTTTCAGGATTCTTTGATGAATAGAAAGATCAGCATTGATCTGAAATGAAAAGCTTTTGTAACATTATACACTATACCATTCAAAACTAATACATACTTATGTACTTATACAGTTACAGTAATTAACATTGTAAATCTAACATAATTTTTGTATATTTTCATTAAAAAATAATGTACATGAGTAATACTATACTTTGTGTATTTTACTAGTGTAACACCAAAAACGACCAAGTGCACCTTCAAAGGCCTTTTCAGGGTTAAAAGCTAAAACCACACACTGAAAAAAAAAACAGCGAACAATAACCAAAAAAAGTTTATTATAAAAATACATTGTTTAGTTGCATTCTAGCAAATTGTAATTCTAGAATTTGCCACAGATTTCAAATCAAATTCAAACAAATGTTGGCGTGTGCTCAAAATGACAGAGAAAAGGTTCTGGAACTGAAGTTGGTGAACACATCAATTTGGTGACTGCTGCCCCCTACTGTCATAACCTGAAAGATGAATATTGGGTAAAGGTTACAATCATTCCATTCACGTCTTTACTTTCCACACACATAACCAATGAAAATACATTTTAAATTGCAGCTATATATATATATAGCTGCAATTTGTAATATCTGTTAAAACATAAAAATCTGGCAAGGCGAATCACGGGTGCACCTACCCTATGTTCAGTGTTTTTGAGATTGAGAGCCAGTGTGTTGAGTGAGGAAGGAGTGCAGGGAATCTGAGCTTTCACTGTTCCTCCATGTAAACAGTGGGACACATATGGACCCTCACCTACTGACATGATCTAAATACAACCACAACATAATATATTATTTAGAAAATGTAAATAATTGTATATAAATATATATAAAATTGTGCATTTTCTGTCACATTAAATTGACAACTAGTCCTTCTCACCAGGTCCTGGTGAAAGACAGCTTCCCTTTGACAGCCGGGCAAAGGAAAGACAGAGGTGGGGGACATGGAACGGAGGTGTCATAATGAGAGCAATGGGCCTCCACCACAGAGCTGGAGAAGAAATAGATAACATTTTATAACAATAGGGGCATTATGCCATTCCATCTTAACATACATACATAGAGGGGCATTCCAGAGGAGCAGTACACCATTACAAGCATGCAGATAGTAACTGAGGTATTTAAAAACAAGCATGTCAATGCATATGCAGAAAAATCAGACACGAGATAAACAAGAACAAATAAAGACAATAGCTTCACTGTCCCTGCCAACCAATCACAAGTCCATCTTACCATCCAATCAGAGTCCGTAGCAAGACAGCTAATCCACTTCCCAAACTGGGGGCATGTGCATTCCTGACCCGCCATTCCAGAGCAAGTTTGAAAGCGACAGAGTGGGATTTCAGTGCTGTATTTTTTTTTCTTAGAGGCATGAATGCATTGTTTTAGCTTATTTGTTTTACCTTGTATCTGAAAACTTCAATACAGTGAACTGGGCGATTTGTCCGTGAGTCTGGTGGAGGAAGTATATACTTTTATTAAATAATGTTTCTCTATTCCTGGTTTCATCTTCAACAAAGAAGAGTTAAGGGATATAGAAACCGTGCAGTGTCGTTCACTGACCCCATATCCTCACAGCACCATCCTCCCCACCAGAGAGGATCTCCCCTTCCCTTTCTTTAAAGCACAGGCAGTGGATGTAGTCAGTGTGGCCTTTCAGTACAGACTGCAGAACAAACAACACAAAGGGGACAAACATTAAGAGGATCCTACTGTGTTGTAATTTATTTATTTAAAAAGCAGCATATGCAGCCCATTAGGGGCCAAGACATTAAAAAAATAAATAAATAACATAATATTGTTTGCAATTACAATTTATATATATATATATATATATATATATATGTTTCTCCAATTTATTTTTCAGTTCAGTAAACAGCATTTGCACAAAATAGTGACCATTTTTGTGTGCCATTTGACCACAAGTCGTGGCCTAATGGTTAGAGAGTCAGACTCGTAACCCAAAGGTTGTGGGTTCGAGTCTCATACCGGCAGGAGGTGCCCTTGAGCAAGGCACCGAACCCCCAACTGCTCCCCGGGCGCCGCAGCATAAATCTGGGTGTGTTCATGGTGTGTGTGTGTTCACTGCTGTGTGTGTGCACTTTGGATGGGATAAATGCAGAGCACTAATTCCAAGTATGGGTCACCATACTTGGTCACGTCACTTTCACTTAGTGTACCTCAAATATTTATTTTTTTTTTTATGTACAGAGCTAGAAAAATCTTTAGAAATTAATAAACAAAAATGTTTAACTCTTTAAAAATGTCTGCTTGCAAAGTCAGGTGTGTCTGCAGTAACAATTTCTATAGTTGGAGAACATGTCAAATCATTTGTTTTGTTAGATACTTATTATATTTCTTCATGAATTTTTTTTTTGGACAACAAGCACCCTTGCTATTATTTAAGCAGAAATGCAAGAGGGGAAATCATAGCCTGTGCTGGGGGGCCTTCAAAATATTGTTCCTGGAGTTACAAAGTTGTAGTCTAACTAACCTTAAAGATGCCAGTCTCCATGTCCATGATGTGAATGTTATTGTCACCTCCTCCAGCTATCAAGCTGTTGTCCTGAGAGAAAATAGAAAAAAAAGAGCATTAAATTGATCAACTTTAAGGTACTTAGACATACACAAATACATTTAACAAATAAATTAAACTTTATGGAAATTAAGCAATGTAAACGAATGTTGTGTTAAACAATCTAATTTTAATAAAACCATTTATTACAGGTAACTACAAAATATGATTACTTAAAGGCACAATACGTAAGATTTTTTAAATTAAAATATCCAAAAACCACTAGAACAGTGTTATATATTTTGCTGACTTGTGTACTTACATTATCCCAAATGTTTCGAAGAATGTTTAAATCCAGAGAAATAAGCAATTTTAACTAGTGACACGGAGCGTGTCCATAGCGTCATTGTGTCACCTGCCAATGCCGTCATAACCCCTCGATTTCCGGTTTTGTTTTGTAGAAAATTTTGAATACGCGCACTCTAGCAGCGAAAATTACATATTGTGCCTTTAAGGAAGAGCATGTATTAGGAATAACCAACAAAAATAGGTGAAGAACAAACCTTTGGGTTAATGATCATTGCATTGATCTCTGGTATTTCAAGACTAGTCCTGTATGGAATGAGACGTTGCACAAACATTTCAAATCACATTCAGGTAGTTCCCACAATAATAAAATTCATAAAACCGAACTATTGCTATCTTGAGTGTATGCAGCAGTATATGTGAATCAGAATGATAATCAGTCTCTCACTCATAACTGGGTTTCCTTGTCCATGCAGCTTTGGTGCTCTGTGGAGACAAAAAGATATAAAATATGCGCTGAGCAAATTTTTGTTGTTTTTACAGGATCCATATGTACAAAGCACAACAATTAAAATAAATATACATTTATTGAACTTGTGTACTTAAGTACACAAGTTGTGTACTTGTGTTCCTGGAGTTTATTGGACTCACTTTTTTTATGAGCTCTGCCCAACTCCAGGCACTGATCTCTCCTTTCCCAGCACTCAGGAGATGAGTGTCCGTGGAGAGAAGAGTGAACACCGGACCATCATGAGCTGAAACAATTAAAAAGCCCTTTCACTTGTCATTGTTGCAACACTGGAAACTGTAATGTTTGCGAGTTGGATAATCTAGGAGCGTAAAGGTAAAATGATCTGTGAGAAAATCAATCTCAGTCTAACCAGTGAAGTTAAGGATGGGCTTCTGGCTCCCCTCTGATGCATCTGGACTCAGTGCTGCTGAAAGACTGTAAGAACGAGACTAGTGAGTACAAGAACACTTTAACATCAACACGCAATATATACAGACAGAAGATGCTTACACACGCACATCAACCAACATCATGAGACCTGCTGACTAACAACGCCACCTAAACTGCTGTTATAACTGCTCGATTAAACTCTTCTCTTACCTGAACACCGCGATCTCTCCATAGTTGTTACCCGCTGCAAGGAAACGCCCGCAGGGAGAGAAACTCTGAGAGAACACGGACATATGCAGCAGCTGGAGAGAGAGAACGTGCCACGGACGACAGTTATTCACATTTCTATGTGCATAAGTACAATTATTGGCATACAAAAATGTATAAGAGCCATTTGTGGAAACTGCTAAAAATGTATGAGTAACGTTACACTGCAGGCTGAACGATGTTTTCTATAGTTTTCGGTGATTAAAAAAAATCTGCTTGCTGATTACCTCAACTGGACCCATGTTCCTGGAGTTTATTAAACTATTAATTTAACTTGGAAAATCTTCGGCAATACAAAGCCTTTTCGTGCTGCTCGTTCAAACAGCGTCGCGTAAATATGACGCAATATACAACCTGCCTCTACAGATAACTCGCCCGCTACAACTGTATATGTCGTTTAAAGCATAATAAAAAATAAAAATAAAACTCGCCCGCTACAACAGTTAGCGTGGTGACTAGCCACATTACCTTAGTTATTACAGATGTTACGACTGTAAACTACACATGAATATTGCAAAATATTATATTAATCTTTCAGAATAATTTATTTTTGATGAAATGTGTGGTTAATGGCACATTACCACAATTGTATTATTTACCATAGTATTTTGTGGGAAACTGCTTACACCATGGCACATTTTTGTAAGAGAGATGGTCTTAATATATATAGCTTGAATTAATTCATTAATTAAATTTAATTAATTCAATGTTTAAAATGTTTTCTCCAATCCCTGATTAACCTTAAAACAGGCAAGAGGGGAAAATGATCAGCAAAAAACCATGTCACTTTTTATATTATCTTGCATCATATTATATCATTTATATTGGTTATTATCTTGATATAACATCAAACACATGAGAATGGGTCAGGACCAACAGTTCGTCTTACCATTGAGAAAATTATTATTTTTTTATTTACACTTCAGTTTTAAACAATATATAAACCTCTGTATGTATGAATATATGGTTTCCAATGTGCTGTGTATTAGCACCAGCTTCATTGCCACAAACTAAATGTTCAGACAAGAAGATTCTACTGCCATTTTATTCACAATTCTTTTTTCCACAAATAAACAAAAAGAAACGGACTCTGTCCACATATGCAGGAACAGAATATAGTCCATTCTGATCACCAAATTACAGATGTTCATCTACATTCAGAACAATGTAGCAGACAGGCAGACAGAAAACCACCGGACACGTGTGATTTTGTTTGTTTGTGTATGTGTGTGTGTGTGTGTGTACAAATAGCGTCCAGCATCTGTTGGCACAGAGCAATAGTTGTTGAGAGCTTCAGTGTCTCAGCTGGCCTCTCCTTAAACATTAATTACACCATAATAAAAGTAAAAATAAATCCTCCCTTTTGGGACGAGTTACAAGGAACCAGGTTTTGAGAGACCTTCCTCTACTAATGGTGAAAATATCACCATTAAAACTAGTCACATTTCCAGTCTCATCCGTGTGATACTGAGATGATTCTGTCCAGTGAGGGTCAGATAAGAGAGTCCAGAAAACAAAAAAGGTTTCACTTATTTCCTCCGTCGACTGTCTGGAGATCTGCTTCTCGACTTCCTGCTTGCAGTGCTGATGGAAAACAGAGATTAAGCTCAATATTAGCAAGAGCAGTGGGTTGAAAACGACAGTAATAATATGTAGATCTGTTCAGAACTGACCGTCGTGAGGGTGGAGAATGTGCAGGTCTTCGTTGCCTCGCTGGAGGGGAGTAACTGAGTGACCGAGAGTCTCTCAGTGAGTCTGCTGGCACTCTCTTGGGCCGTGAAGGACTGCAGAGTTCAAAGGAAATGATTGAGAGTGTTTTAGAGTACAGCAGTAAAATGAGATGCAATTCATCTGAACAATTTATCTAATGCGATTTGTTTCAGTTTGAAAAGGGATACTGCATGGGGAAGACAGATTTTTTTTGTCATATTCATTACCTTTTTTTTTATCTGGAATTAAATTACTGTTAACTTTTGACAGAAGTTTAAAAAAAGCTTAATTTCCTATTAAATTTATTACTTATTCATTATTCACAGAAGTTTTTTTATGATCAACTGCCATTTAAAATGTGTTTTTTTTTTATAGATCCAAGTTTCCCGTGGTTGTTTAAAGGGCTGGACAATTTGACCAAAACCTTGAAATTATATCAATAAAAAAAAAAGAAGAATTGTATTTTTTTATTACTAAATAATAAAAAACAGGAAATATTACCATTGTAAATTCACTGTAAAATAAAGATATAAGAAAAATAATATTAATTGTACTTTACAGCACAGATTTTTAAAACAAAACAACTGGGATTTTATTTTGGTGGAAAAGTGCAGAGAGCACATAAAGCTTCTCTTTTGTTGACAACAGGCAGTTCATAAGTGCTCCTCATCACGAGTTTGGGAAGGTGGTTCATGTTGTGTTCCCAAACACACATTACAAGTGACCCAGATTCAGAGTAGATGCAGAAAGGAATTTGTGTGTGGCAGAATTTGCTGTAAACCAAGCCACTCTGAGATGCTGAAATCACTGGATTACGAGCTGCTTTCGTGTAAAACAACACAGTGCTTTACTCTGAAACACAGTGCATATTTATTTCTTTAATTAAATCACAGCCAATGTGATTTGCCATATGGCATTTTCAGTTATTTCGATAATTCAGTAACCTAAAACTGAAAATGTAAGATCGTTGGTTCATGCATGCAAACCTAGAGGGTCAATTTTAAATTTGAATTAAATGCAGTGGAAAATTATACATTTCTTTAGCAGAGGAGGAAAAAAAAGCTAAATATTCTACCTTTTTGTCTTATCTTCTTGTTCACTTTCTGACGAGGATGACGACGATGAAGAAGCTCGGCTTTTGGCCTTCTTGCTAGCTTCTTTATTTGTACTTGCTTTAACACCCCTGGAAAATAAACATTGAAACGAAGGGTACCATATATATAAATTTAACTGAATAAATGCAGAATGATTTGGCACTTACCCTTTGGCTTTCTCTGTTTCAGAGTCTGAGCTGTCGGATGAGGATGATGAGGAGGATGAAGATGACGATGAGGAAGATGAAGAACTCGAGCTGCTTCTCTTCTGCTGTTGGCCAGAGGTCTCCTTCTCTGGTTTCCCATTCACGGCAGTCTTTCCTCTCGTTGGTGGTCCGTGGTGCCGCTCATGAACAGATGATGGGGACTGGCCTCTTAATCGGTCACCAGGTGGATCCCTGCTTTGTGACTGGTTGGTCACTGGTGATCTAGAACGGACAGGTGGTTCATGGGAGCGAGAGCGATGATGCGATTGGTTGGAATGGACACGGGTGTCTTTAGGAGGCGAAGGAGACGGATGTTTCGAGTTCCTTTCTGGTTGCTTATTTTTTTTCTGTTCATCAATTTCCCTTGATCGGTCTTTCTCTGCATCTGTAGACTTCACACCCTTCATCTGTCTTTGAGGAGAGGGCGAGGCTGAAGAGGACGAACTGGAGGAAGAGGATGATGATGAAGAGCGCCGTGGAGGAGTGGGATCTTTGGGTGGCGCCCTCGTTCTTTGTTCTTGCTCTCGTTCTCTTTCTTTCTCCTGTTCACGCTGTCTCTCTCGCTCTCGATTCCTCCTCCTCTCCTGCTCTCTCTCCCTTTCTCTTTCTCTTGATAGTGAACGACTTCTGCGCCGGCATACAGGAGAGGGTGAACGTCGAGACCTGGGTGTAGGGAGAGAAAATCTGTAATAATATCCGCAATTACAGCATTTTATTATAAACTTAATTTCACACTCTATTTACAGAATGAACAGTAAGCTTTTTTTTTAAAGAAAAGTTTATAATGTTACAAAAGATTTCTATTAAGTAAATACTGTTCTTTAGATTTTTTTATTTATCAAAGAAAAAAAATATACAATGGTTTCAACAAAAAAATATTTAGCAGCACAACTGTTTTCAAGATTGATAATAATGTTTCTTAAGCACCAAACCAGCATATTAGAATGATTTCTATAGGATCATGTTTTCTTTGAAATGGGTTTTAATCAAATAAATGCAGCCTTGGTAGTCACTGAATTAATAGACCCAAAAAAAAAAAAAAAAAAAGCAAAATATATATATTTGAAATAGCTTAAGCATGTCACTGGCAAGACCCTTGAAAATTCATATCGGTGTATGTATCATAAATATATACAGTAGTCAACATTTGAAGAGGATCAAAAAAAGTTCCTCAAAATTGTCCTGAAACAAGAACACATTTTAGGTTTAGGTTTTAGGACAACTTTGATGAAAGGTTTTGATCCACTTCAAATGTTGACTAGTGTATATTGTGGCAACGTCTCCAAGAACCTGCAAAACTACAGAACTGTTAAAAGTTAAGCACTTGTGTAAAAATACTGTAAAATGAGGATGCTGTCAAAAATAATGTCATAAATAGATTTTCTTTATCAATTAACTTCTATTATCTAAATGAAATCAACATTTGGTGTGAGCATCCTTTGCATTTAAAGCAGCTTTTGCCCTCGGTTCACTTGCGCATAGTTTGTCAGGGAGCTTTGCAGATAGATTTCTTGGAGACGTTGCCACAGTTCCTGTGGATTGATTCTGTCTCAGTTTGTTCTGTTTCTTCATGTCATTCCAGACAGACTGATGATGATCAGATCAGATCTCTGTGTGCAGCACTGGCTGCTGTCAGACTCCTTGTGCAAAATAAAGTAAAAAAAAAACCCACAGATTGTCTTCTGTAACTACTTTTAAGGTTGAGTTTAGCTTTCCAAAAACTGTGGTTCTCTGACTAACCTGTAAAGAGGACTTGGTCTTCGGGGACTCCTAGATCTGCTGCTCCTTGTTCTCCTCTCTCTGGAACGCTCTCGGTCTCTGTTCACTGGCCTTGCCCTAAATCTGTTTCTCTCTCGCTCTCTGAGGCGCTCCCGGCTGAGGTCTCTTCGGAAAGGCGATGGTCTCCTCGCTCCTCGTCTCGGGCTGGGAGAGCGTGAGCGTTGTGGGTCCTGGTACTGTCGTGGTGGAGTGCGTTTCGGGGAAGGTCGAGAAGCCGTCTGTTTGACCTGTGGCACGTCGTTCCTTCCTTTCCCCCTCGGAGACAAAGGTGACGCATCTTTCTTTCGGTCACTCTGTCTGTCTCTTCCTCTGCCAGGCGAGGGAAGTGAAGACTCTCGTTCCAGCTCTGATGGGGTGTATCGCTCGCCTCCTCGATCTCTGCTCTGAGATTTGGTTTCTTCTGAAGGCGTGTACCTTTCCCCACTTGGGGCTCCTCTGTCCCGGCCTCTCTGAGGGGGTGAGGGAGGTGGGCTTGAACTCTCAGTGGGAGTGTACCTCTCTTTTCCATGCTCCCGGTCTTTGGCTCCTGTGGAAGGAGACGAGGAGTGGCCAGGTCTCCGCTCTCTCTTATCAGCATCGTCCCTTTTTCTCTGGGACTCGGGAGGTGAGCTCTGTCTTTGTGTGGGAGGGTACATCTTTCTGCCTTCATCACTCTCCACATTCCTTCCTCGGTTCTCCTTCTCCCGGCGCGCAATAGCCTGAGCTATGACAGCATTAGAAACCGACCTTCCAGCAGCACTGCTGTCTTTTGAACTTTTCTTTTTCTTCTTTTCATCTTCCGAGGATGAAGAAGATGAAGAGGAGGAGGAGGATGAAGATGACGAGGAGGAGCTGTCACTGTCACTTTCGCTGCTGCTGCTACTACTGCTGCTGCTCGCAGCTTTTAGGTTGTCTTTCTTCCCGGGCTTTTCCGTTTCCATCTGTTTGTCCTTCTCCTGGTCTTGAGGACTCTTCTCTGTTCTCCTGTCTTTCTTGGCCACCTCTTGCTCCGTCTCACTTCCTCTGGTGCCTCGTCTGTCCTCAGGCAGACCACTAGAGGAGGACTTCCTGTCTGATCGAGACACTTCTTCTCTTCTGGTCCGGGTTCTCTCCTGTTCTCTGTCACTCTCTCTGGCTTTTCTCAAAGCTTCTTCTTTCATCTCCTCCTCCCGTCTTCTGTCCTTCTCTCGCTGTTCTTCTCGCTCTTTCTCTAGTTCATGATTTCGTTCTTTTTGCCTTCCGTTGGCATAAGGTGAACGCTTAGCAGGAGACATGGAGTCACTAGATCGCTTTCTGTCTCGCTCCTTCCCTTTATCACTCTCCCGTCCTCGGTCATCTTTTCTACTAGATGGGATATCTCTATCGCTATTCCTCTGTCTGTCTCTCGCTCTGTCCCCATGTCTTTCCTTCTCCCTGTCCCTGGGGGAAACGGCTATCTCTTTCTCTCCACTGTGTCCTCTTCTTGTTCTGTCTTTACATGGAGAAGGAGATGGGGACAAGGATGAGTCTTGTCTTCTTTGATCTTTGTTCTTTCTCTCATTGTCCCCTCGGTTCTGGTCTCTCTGCTGCTTAGGAGACTGAGAGCGAGACAGAGAGTTGTGTCTTTTCCGCTGAGAAGGTTTCTCTTTCTCTTCGCTCCGCTGTCGCCGCTCTCGCTGCTGCTTGTGTGGTGGAGATGGTGAAGAGGAGTCATGTCTTCTTGTCTGAGGGGGTTTCTCTCTCTCTTCGCTCCGTGGTCGTCTGTCCTGCTGCTGCTTTGGTGGAGGGGATGGCGATGAGGAGTCGCATCGTCTTCTCTGAGGTTTTTCTGGCACTTGTTCTCTCTCGCGTTCTCGGCCTTTGTCTCTTCTACTGTGCTCAGGTGTTCTTGAGCGTCTTGGTGACCTCTAAAAATGGGGAAGACATAGAATTAGGGAGGTGCAAAAGTACTTTTTTTAAATCAACTAGTCAGAGGGTTGCTTGAACAACTGCTCAACTAATCTAGTTCAAGGAAGGCCTGTATAACTCGGCCAAGCCATCAAGTGTTTACATGACAATTTCTTGCATTCAATGCAGAGGTCTTGAGGAGCAGTTTTAGAAACTGGACTATTTTTATCTTGACATACTATATTAAAACTCAATGCTTGTCGTGGCAAGGCGCTCAAAAAACAATGCAACACAGGAGATGCAACAAAGGCCAAAGACCATCTGAATGTGTTCAGCTGTAATTTAATGTGGTGGTTGTTTAGAATAGAATACATACTAATAATAGGTTTACTTTAAAAATATAATGCTTATTTAAAAAGGAAAGACCATATATAAGAATAGGGGGAAACAAACAATGAATAAACCAGATTAAATAATTACAGCATATGTCTCTATGACTTCCAAAACAACATATTACCTCTCGGACTTCCATCCGTTTTGGACTTTCCTCACTGCGGCCACGGCGCCTTCTGTCAGGTGATCTCCCTTTCCTCCCCTCATCTGGATGAGAATCTGATTTATTCTGTGGTTTCCCACTTTGAGGGGATGGGCTGAAAAAAAAAGACATGCATATATTTATATGAACTTTCACTAATTAGGGACATTTTCGATAAACTACACTATTTCAAACATTGAGCAAGCATACATATTTGATGTTTTTTAGAACAATTAAAAAAAAAACATTTAATAGGAGAAATTTTGTTTATAGAGTGGAAAATGTTCTTGCAATTGGTATTAGAATATAAAGAGTAAAATCTGAGGGCACACTATATTATGGATCACATGGTGTGCACATGTAATGATACCTGTGAGCTGGGCTGGAGGATGCACTCTGCCGTTTTCGGCACTTACTGGGAGGTGGAGTCTCATTGTCACTCCTTTTTCTTTTGGTTGTTTCTCTGTCATCTGATGAACTGTGGGAAGACAAATGATAACATTTAAATTATAATACATACCGTTATCAAAGGTAACAGAGTGACGAGGAGGAGAAAACCTACCTCTCTGTGTCACTCTTCTCTGATTCCTCTCTGAAAGTAAAAATATATTAGTTATTTAAGCAGTTTAAAAAATGATGCAGAATCATTTAAATTCTTGAGCATTTTAATGCTAAAACATTTTTTGCACACAAAAATTTTCTACATGACAAAATCTTTTTAAAGGAAATTTATCCAGGTCTAAAAATATGTATTATAAATGTTGGCGATTTTGCAATGAATAAAATCATTCAAATTATGGGTCAAACATGACAAAGCTCACAATTATTAAAAGAAGGATTTTTCTCAAAATGGCAGCTATAGGGTAAAGCGTATGGACAACTTTCCTAAAAGCATCTCAGTTAATAGTGATATTACCATATGCAAATAATCTGGCTATTAAGCCTTTTCCTGGATAGTTTATGAAAATGCAAATGATGTCCACACTGTCCAGCAATGTGAGATTTGAGAATCATTTACAAATGTAAAATATCATTCCCAATAAGTTTTTTTTTTTTTTTTTAAATGGTTCACATATTCTAGAGTGACTCAAGTAATAAATAAACTGAATAAAATATATTTAGGTGTATTGATTTTACCCAATTAATGCATCTTATCCCAGTATGAATTAACAGAATATTGTAATTTAAGAGCATTAAATGAAACCTTTTCTTTTTCTTCTTTTTGTCCTTTTTCTTCTCTCGTCGAGGAGAAGGTGAAGGGCTCTCAGAGCTGTTACAAGAGTGGAAATTGACTCATTAATATATTATTCTTATAATATAACTCATGCTTAAAGTGTTCCAAATTACTTCTCCATTCCCCAGTGTACCTTTCTCTGCTTTTGTTTTTCTTTTTCTTCTTCCGGCTCTTTTTTCTCTCAGGAGATGAATCAGAGTTATCAGACTCAATAATCCTGAAATAAAATGATGAGAGAAAGACAGAACAGAAAGCAAGTAATCAGATAAGATACAACACGTCAAAGTCCGTACTTCTGAAAGTTACAGTACGTTTTTGCAGTACATCAAGATCTTTTATCCCAAAAGATAAAGGAAAAATGTGATTCCTCATGACAAGACCCCTTCAACCTCCCCTCCATCTACTCACTGGTACTTCTGCTGCTGCTGCTTCTCTCTTTCCAGCCTCTCCTGCTCCCTCTTCTCCTTCTCTCGCTCCTTCCGGTCAGGATGAAAGGATGAGCCGTCAACGTAGTCAGAGCTGATACCGAACGCTTCTCTCAGACGGTCATTTTTTTGCTGGTTAGCAGCTGCCAGTGCATGAGTCTCAGTCACACTGTGAGAAAGAGCAAAACATGGATGGGAATAAAACTACTAACAGTGCACAGAAAAGGCCATTAAAAAGCCTTCATTTCTGTCTGGATGATCTGAAGTAACACTCACACTGGCCTCTCTGTTGGAGGAGGGGCAGGTTCTTGTCTTTCTTGCAGCATCAAACTGAAGGTGTTGACTTTCTCTTCGATCTCCTCTGCAGAGTACCTGTCACATAGGATGTTTTGATCAGAGGCTGTTCTCAATATCTACTCCTGAAGAATGTTCACCATAACACAAACCCAAGCAAGCCGTAGAGCACAGGAAAAATCATAGTGCATACTTGAAATACACTACAGTTCAAAAGTTTGGGTTCAGGTGGAGTTTTTCAAGTTTTTGAAAGAAGTCTCTTATGCTGCCAAGGCTGCATTTATTGATCAAACATACAGTAAAATAAATGTAATTTATTTTAAAACATATTCCTGTGATGACAAAGCTGAATGTTCAGCAGCCATTACTACAGTATTTAGTTACAGAAATCATTTTAATATGTTGATTTGATACTCAAGAAACATTTGTAATTATTATCAAGGTTTAAAACAGCCGCTTAATATTTTCGTGGAAACTGATTTCCACATTCTTTACTGGACTCTTTGATGAACAGAACGTTCAAACTGTTTTTATTTAAAATAGATATTTTGTATAATATTATAAACATTTTTAATGTCACTTTTGATCAATTTAAAGTGTCACAGTTGAATAAAAAGTATTAAATAATTTTTTTAAATCCTAACAAAATTCATACAGTGTGCACCTAGCTTAACTCATTTTAAATGCAAACCAAAAATACAGAGGATTTTTCCTATTTTATTTCATCTTACCCCTGCTCCTCCATCATGTCCTGCAGCTCGGCACATTTCACCTCCAGCTGTCTCTTCCTCTGGTGCTCTAGGATATCAGCGTTAGGTTGTCTGTTCAGCTGGCTCTCCAGTCTCTCTCGGTCTTTCTCATCCCGCTCTCCTCCGCGCTCGTCCCTGTTCCTCTTCACGCGTACGCTGGACAGGTTCCTCTGAACGTAGCCATTCGTGCCACTGCCTCGCGGTGTGGTCAAACCGATACCGTTATACATCTCTGCTCTGAGAGGCCAGACACAGCATGAGAACTCATGAGTAAACTAAGCACTGAACTGAACAACTTTGCATATCACATTCACAACACCTTAAGTGGCCTGGCTGGGATAAAAGCATTTGATACATACATAATGTGAATAAATGAGTGCTGCTGGGAGACCTTATGGCACCTTCTGCATTTGTGGTGAACGGTGAGCTTTGACCATGAAAATAAAAAGCATTACGATTTTGTTCCTTTTTAAAACATTTTTAGGAGTACACTAAAACATGTAAACAGTTAATAGAGGAAGCTAAATGGAACTAAAACTACAGAAGTATTAGTTTCTGTTCACCAACTCATCGCAATGTAATAAAACCAGATTTAACAGAAATGACAACTTATGTGCTGACTTTATATTTTTTTAAACCTTATCTTTATTTAGAGATCCTAGCAGAACAGCAAGTTTGTATAAAACAATACCTAACATTCACTGAATAGGGGTAAAAACTATAAAGAACTTGTTAAGGTAACACAAAATTGTGTCAGGCAACTAACACAATTTTGAATAGAACAAATGTATCAAATTTAAATGTTATTTCTATGTGCGGCCTAGTGACTGGAAAATGCTTACAATGCCCTGAAATTTTGAACAAAAATTTGAGGCCTTTTTTGAAGCTTAGCAAAAATGCAATTGCAATTGGGAAACTTAAGCAATGGCCTTTTTTTCCCTTCCTTTTTTTATTTGTTCACACAAAAGGGAACCTATTCAATCAATTCAAATTTAATTTAATATTTCACAGCTATTTTCTGAGGTATGATATGATATAAATAATACATATTTAAATTACGCTTGATTATTTTAATTTCATTATTTATATTATAAAATAGCGACATTTCTTTTCATAATTGTACTGTGGTTGTATTGTGGTGACTTGTATTGTACTTAATGTCTCAAAAATAGCGGTGAATTTATGCAACCCCAAAATGCCCAGAATTGCACGTTTACAATGTTTTTCCAAATTACACCATGATGCAAATTTTGCCTAAACGAATGGTTTTCTAAAAGACATGTACATTAAGTACATCTTTTAATGTGCTGAATCACTAACAACATTTGTCCAGAAACAGAAAGATTCAGCACTTTTTCAGACATGACTGCGAAGAAAAAAAATTACCACACGAATATGCAGAGTAAAGCAGTATGGTGCTAAAGCAGTCTAGGTCTGTTTAATAATTACAGAGACTGTGTTGTACACAACTGATCGAACATATGTTAAAAATGTAGCATTAAAGGCGTGGTAAACGCTCCAAACATCCCATACTATGTCTCACATGCTGTCTGGGTAGACTGTTCACATACTTGAATACACAGATACTGTATCGCGCCCACAAGTCTTAAACCAGCAACAGGCCGAGGCCTTCTGTGCTGCTAATGCTTCCTCCACACAACAACCCGCTGATTCTCCTTCATTTTTAGTGTTCATATAACAACTCACTAAATACCCTCAGTGTTTACTGGTATAACAGCACTTGAGTTGTTTCAGCGCGCTAACTTTGTCCTGTGTGCTAGCAGGATCCCTCCACAGAACAGCATGCTAACTGCTCGTTGAGCTTCAGTAACGTGAGTGCTACGTACCTCTGTGATCCCGCTCAGGGAGAGAACAAAAGTAGAACCGTTACAGGCCAAAGACCGAGCAACTGTGGCACAACAAGCGTAAACCCAGCGATTCTATATCAAATAACCCTTGCAAAATAAAAACGATGTACGCAACGTTGGCTAGAATGAACAGGTAACGCTCATTTGGACGGCATCGTGACGACCTCGCGATAATGTTCGGGGATTGACTGTGGACTACATTTCCCACAATTCCTTTCACTCGCTTCATCCATCCACGCAAGCGTTTGTGCTTCTTCTTCTTCTTATGCTGTTTAATGGCGGTTGGCAAACCAGCTTTTGGTGCATATTCCGCCACCTACTGGGATGGAGTGTGAGGCGCTGATATCAAGGGAAATGCTAATTCTCAAAAAAAAAAAACAACAACAACCTTCTACCTATATTTTATTATATAAATTTGTTATTTTCAGAAAATTAATAAGAGCTTTATAACCTTTATGAGAACTGTTTAACACATTCTGTAATGTCATAGAATTAATGCCGTCAGATTTTAATTCCTCTTTTAACTGTATTCTTCGATCTAATTTAATTAACAGCCCTTCCTTCCAAACCATGTCATACGCCTTCTCAATGTCAAAAAAAAAAAAACTCCTATTACCGCTTCTTTTTTCACTAGAGCTTTCCTTATTTCATTCTCCAAGCATACAACTGCATCTAGTGTACTACGTCCCTTTCTGAATCCACTCTGATATGGATGTAACAAATTTTTGGTTTCCAAATAAAATAATACTCGTGACATAACCATTCTTTCCATTACTTTGCACATGTTTGATGTTAAAGCAATAGGTCTATAGTTCATCGGAATAGATTGGTCTTTCCCAGGTTTTGCAATAGGTACTATAATGCCCTGTTTCCACGAATACGGGAGCGTTTGTGCTTCAAAGTAAGATTTGTTTTAAAGTCTCTTATGCTGCAAGGCCAAATTTATTTGATCAACAATATAGTAAAAACAGCAATTTTGTAAAATATTACAGCAATTTAAAACAACTCTTTCCTTTTTTTTTTTTTTAGTAAAAATATATTTATTCCTGTGATGGCAAAGCTGAATTTTGAGCAGCCATTACTCTTCAGTGTCACTTTTTCTGTCTTTCTTCCCTATTCTTTATAAATCATTATAAATCAGAGCTCAAGAAACATGTCTTATCATCAGTGTTAAAAACGGTTGTTTTGTTTAAAGTGCCCCTACTATGGGTTATGTAAGGTTCATATTTTGGTTTTGGGAGTCCCCAACAACAGGTTGACATGCATGCAAGGTCCAAAAACACTTTCATTGTCTTATATAGGGTGACCATACGTGCCATTTTTCCCGGACGTGTCCTGGCCAGGATTTCTATATTGCCTAAAATATCGAGAACGGTGTTCCTGCACAACCGGAGGCTGCAGTTTCAGGACCGCAGTTCTAGGACCCTATTCTTTTGTAACAGCGCCACCTACCGAATTGGATAATATAGCGGAGGCTGCAGTTATACCTACTTGGCAGTTTCAGGACAGCATTTCTCCATTTCTAGGACCCTGGTGGTTTAGTTTTTAGTAATGTTTGTACATGTTGTTAAAGATATTGCATCTCAGGAACATTTTTTTTTTTATTTCAATTGTGATGTTTGATTTATAAATGCATCAGATATTAATTACAAAGTGTGTAATACCTGCTTTGAGTTAACAATTTTAAATTTAAATGAATTTACACTTAAAATATAAATGAAAAATGTATTTCAGTCTTTAAACAACTGAAAAAGTGGAGTACCTTAAGTCTTAGTTTCTTGAAATATACTGTATATTGATTAGCCCCTATTGACTATAAGCAACTTTGCAACTACATATAAACTAACTCTCATTAGAGTATTGGTAGGCTTAGTTAAGTGTTATGTAATCCACCACATATAGGTGTATATTTATACATTTCTTTGTCCAAATCATTTCACAGAAACATTTCATAACATCACTGTTATATAGACAATTATGTGCTAATGAGCACAAGCATTTAAGTTAATTGTTTATTAAAATATGTAATTGTTTGTATGAAACATTGCTAATTCTTCCGTTAAACGAATTGCAAAACAAATTAAACTATTATATACACAAGTATTAAGCTTTTTTGAACTTTATGCACATAGTGCGGGGAAAATTTGTAGTTTTCAGTACATTGGATCTTCTTTCTGCCTACCATTAGATTACTTAAATGCAGAGGTGGACAAAGTACACAACTCCATTACTACAAGTGAAAGTTGTAAAGAGATTTTTACTTGTACTTGCAGTACTTGCTTTTAAAAGTACTTGAGTACCAAAATGAAGTTTCCTGTTTTATGTCAGCCCTACCGACCCCTACAAAAGCAGCATGGTAGTGATCTCTCACAGCTCTGGCAGTGTGTGCACACATCTCGTGTAGCCACTTATCCACATTTGAACCAAGTGGACAGTGAAATTGCTGTAAATATGGACTGATAAGAAAAAAAAAGGAAATCAAACCTTTAAAACTCAGCAACACAACTGTAGCTGTGTAACTTTACAACAGCAACACTGCAAAGCAAAACAGCAAGATTTATTTGACTTTAAAACAAAAATGTCAAAAATGCTCTCTAATCGTCCTTGCAGTATTTTGATGTCATACACAGAATGGTATGTGCAGTGCTGCTTCAAGTCAAATACCTACTGTGTTTTGTTAGGAGACGCACAGCAGCGAAACGGGGGGAAAACATTGCTGTCAATAGAATAAAATAATAGTGATTAATCTCATGATTTCTGACTAGTTTTTAAATAGCAAAAGGAAACCTCATTTGGCTATTTTGTTTATTTATTAATTTGTTGTGATTATTTGTTCTATTTAGATAATTTGTCAATTTATCTACATTTTACACTATTTTTACACTCAAAAGTTTTGCCTTCTAGCACTTTTGGGTTTATTTAAAAAGAAAATTTGCAGTACATAAAACTTTATAATTTATTGGTGCTTTTTATATATTTAACAACTTTAAAATTGCTATAATTAAGCTGCTAAATCCCTTGTGTGTAACGTAATTGTAGTTTTTCTCTCTGAACCACAATCTTAAATAATTATTACAGTGACTCACAAAAACCATCTCTGCCTGGACAAGAATGAGACCAGATTTTCCACATCAGCTTCTATTGTTATAGACTAGAGGTATCGTAGCAACCATTCTACATATGGAAAATCCTATCTGTTTAAAGATGACCGTTTGAAATGCATAGTGCACAAGATAGATGTATCTTTTGCTCGTTTAGTTGGAAAATATAGTTGTTTTTTTTCTGTGTGTGTGTTCCACAGAAGAAGCAAGCTCATGCAGGTTTGCGAGAAAAAAAATCATGCAGTATTTTCATTTTCGTGTGGACTATTCCTTTGAATGTAGTTAGAAACTTTACAGGGGCAGATAAAAATCGAAACCTTGAAGGATCAGAAAAAACACAAGGCTGTTCCCAACTGGCTTCAATTTATGGGCATTCCCTTAAAATGAGCTGTACTATGACTCATGGGAGTTCCTGGGAGTTCTATAGTGATTCTCACAATATTTATTCTTATGTAATGGATGCGTGGAATGTAACAGTTTAACAACACAAACAGCCTGTGGTTTAACCTCGAGTGAAATACTGAAATTAGTTTAAGTTACAGATACAAACTGTATGTCCACTGCGACATCTAGTGGTTAATATGGCCAATCCGTGTAATTCACTCTGGCGTTTAAATTTCATCAAACGAGGCAAACATTTCACCCAGTTCCCCCACATCCACATAATTTAAGTCTTGGTTATATAAAACTGTATTCGTTCAAAAAGTTAAGACCAGATCATCGCTGTTCTAAACAGATTTTTTTTTTCATTTCCTGGTTACAGATTTAGTTATTCAGTTAGATTCATCTTTAGAATTACCTGCCTATTTTCTTGACATGATAATAGGCTACATTTATAGACATACATGCATTTTATGTCAAATCTAGATAAATTTGCTTTATTGGCCTCCTTGAATAATACATTTAAGTTCATTTTGGAATGGCATTCTTAACTATCTATTCTCTAACCATTTTATTGTATTGCAATTTCACTTTATATTGCATTTATTATCAGATTCCAACTTTTCCTCGCACCTTATCTCTGAATATAACTGCTCAGTTACAAAAAAAAAAAAAAGGTTTTGTATTCATATGATCTGTAACTGATTTTGTCTTTTGTATAGCCCCTTTTGTAGCTATAACCCAAAAGAACATGCTTCAGGTTAGTAAATTGTGAAATTTAAGTAAAATTATGATTAATAATAATCACTTAACTGCATTGTCAGTACTTTAATCATTATGTATGAATTTATTATTATTATTATTACTGCATCAAAAAAAAAACTGTAGCCTAACACTTTATTTTAGTGACTTTGTTATACAATATAGTATAGTACTATAGTAATACCAGTAACCCTTAGTAACGCTAATCCTATAGTCGATAGCCTGTTGTTTATTAATATTACTCAGTACTTATTTGTGACCTTGGACCGCAAAGACAGTCATAAGTAGCACGGGTGTATTTGTAGCAATAACCAACAATACATTGTATGGGTCAAAATTATCGATTTTTCTTTTATGACAAAAATCATTAGGATATTAAGTAAAGATTTTCAAATAGTTGTATCTCGGCCAAATATTGTCCTATCCTATCATACATCAATGGAAAGCTTATTTATTCAGCTTTCAGGTGATTTATAAATCTCAAATTCACCCTTATGACTGGTTTTGTGGTCCAGGGTCACATTTGTGTAATTACACTGTAACAAAGCCACCTTAAAATAAAGTGTAACCAAAAGAACAATTAACATTTAATTTGTATTTATATATAACAGTTTTATGTTTATTTGTTATTTTACTTTTTTTTTATTTAATGCTCAAAACAATATACAGACAATAACAATGAGAAATAAAATAAAACCGAGAGAATAGACAAAAGAAAAAAATGAGAGGATTTAAATACAGTGATATAAATATAAATATAAAAATACTCACAGGTTTTGAGAACTACAAGTCATTAAAACTGGAAAGGAACTGAAAACAAATAATATTACTTTTTATTTTATTATTATAACATATGAAACACAGAATGACATTAATATACTACATGCCAGGGAGTAAGAAAATAATGTACCTTTTAAAAAGATTCACAGTTTTTACAGCTTTCTTACTGGAAAAGTCAGAAATCAAATACATACACAGTTTTAACTCAGACATGCATTTTTTTTCTGTGGTGAGATTTCTGACAGACTGCCGTCTCTTGTCGGTAGTTGCTGAAAGCAAACTAAAACGTGGTCAACTGTCTTGGAAGTCCGAGCATCGACATAAAGAGATGTAGAATAAGCTAGATGTGAAAGACCCTCTGCTTTAGAAAGTGAAGTTCTACCCTTGAGAGACAAATCTCTGTGTAACCATAGATGTAGTTTCTTTTTGGTCTTTTCCATAATCGGGGAAACGTTATCAACACATCTATTCTTCATATCCTTAGAAACGACTATACCCAAGTAAGTAACTTTGTCTTTCACTGGGATGCTATCTATGTTTGTCAAACAACAAGTTTTGATTGAAAATAGTTCACATTTGTGGATATTTAAGTGTAAGCCTGATGCCCGAGAGAATAAACTAATAATATGAATAGCTAAAGAAAACTGAGCAGAGTTGCGTAAAAACAGTGTAGTAGCCTATCATCTGCGAGTTGACTCAGTATGATCTCTCTATCTGCAATATGAATGCCCTGTATAGCGCTGGCTCTAAGATACACAGACAGTATTGACCAGCTAATAAAAATAAATACGGTGAGTTTGGGCAGCCTTGTCTAATTCCACGTAGCAAATTAAATCTGGTAGATGAGCCCGTCTTCAATTTGATAGAACAGTTTGCATTTGCATACAGTATTTGAACAGCTTTGATTAAAAAAAGGACCAGACCCAAACTTTTCTAAGGCAAGAAAAGGAAACTTTATACTTTATATGCTTTATAAAAGTCTAAAAACAAAATAAAGCTCTCGTCTACAATTAAATCAGAGTAATCAATAAGATCCAACACTAATCTAATATTATTTGAAACATGCCTCCCCGATAAGAAACCAGACTGGGATTCATCTATAATAAATATGACTTTTTTTGCTGAACTATTTTAGCGCGAGTGACCTGGCTGCGCGCGTTGCGTCAGTCGACGCTGCGAGGCGGGAGCGCGCACGTCGCTGTCACTGAGTTGGTTGTTGGAAATGCGGACACGGCGGGATGTCAGCAGGGCCGTGTTTATCTCTTCCAGCGATGCTGCCCGGTTCACATTTCAGGGAGGTTTCCTGACTTTTTTAAAACGCACCGCACTAGTGTACTCAATGCCAGCAGTGCTACGGATCTGTTTCCTCGCGGATGAGTGGGCACGCAGTGCGGAGCGGCAGTGTTTAGCTAACACCGTTAACAGTTAGCCCAGCGGCACACTCAGACTCCCAGCCCCAGCATTTTCGGGTTTATCTTTAGGACTTTTCAACCGGCCCAGCGGCTTACCAGCGGCCTGCCTCGCTCCCGCCTTTACATCCGTTCAGCGGCGGCGGCGGGGGGGGTCACGGTAACCGGAGCAGACAGGAACCCCCCCGGGACAGACAGCTGCGGGTGAGTCTGAATTATGAAGATCTTCTCTTTTATCTCTTCTCAGAGGGAACAGATGTGTCAGAACAGATGGACACGATTAATAGCACTGTTTTCTGGCGCCGTAAACCGGGAAGTTGAGCTGATCGGCTGCACTGGATAACGTTACCGTAGACATGAGCTAGCAGGTTAGCAGGCCAATTTCAGCAGCTAACAATGAGTACATTACAATTAAAAACGTGTCAATCCTAAACCGTGGAGTGAATGGTGATTTTTAGCAATATAAAGGCCTTTTGTGTTGTTGAGAGGCTGTTGCATGACAGACAGCACGATTAGCAGCTTTAGGTTAAAGTTGGCAGTCACAAATCCAGCGACTCCTGCGGGGTAAGCTTGTCTCAGGTGCTGTCTGCTCACTTCATGACCTTGTGTGTTTTATGACTGTAGTCTTGTGTTTAAAACCGTAATGTATTTTGTGTAGAGGTTGGCCTTTTTAAATGGAGGTTTCCCGGTATCCGGTTCCGTGTTATTGTCCAGTCACCTCACATGTGGTTAATCACAGTATAACTGACAGCTCACAGGTTTATACCGTTGCCTTTTTAAAAACTTATAAAAACTTAAAAACCACATGTGTGGTTTGTTTACTACTCATTTGTCCTCACGCTTCAGATATTACTAGGCTTGGATACCCGGAACGAGCACAGTTCTTGTGTATGGGTGGAGTCCCACAAAAGTAGCATTGTCCTATTCATGAACGAATCGTTCCTCTGAATAGAATCTTTAGTGAATTGATTGAACCGTTTCTGCTGTAAACTACAGTTTTTTTTTAAATAAAATATTTGATGACGCATATTATATACCAGCAAGCAGATGCGACCAGAATATGAACCCAATAAGATAAATTGCATACGCATTTTCCCATAAAGAACATACACATAAGGAGTGCTTAGCTGTATAGACAGTATATACGCACGTATATACATCATGGCGGCGCACGCGCAGCACTGACCTCCATACGCCATCCGCCCGGAACTGCTTCTGTTTACAACAGTGAGCGCAAGCTAGATTAAAGTGATTATTACGTTTTGAATATGGATATTTTTCTTACAAAAACGCATTGATTTATGGGCTAATTTTCATTTTTGGGTGAACCAACCCTTTAATATCCTAATGATTTTTGACATAAAAGAAAAATCGATAATTTTGACCCATTCAGTATTTGTTTGGCTATTGCTACAAATATATCCCAACGACTTAAGACTGGTTTTGTGGTCCAGGGTCACACACACATATATGTGTATATATATATATATATATATACACACAGGGGAGTAGCCATCATTTCAGAAGTGAGGGGGACAGAAATGTAATATATATATATATATACACACACACACACACACACACACACACACAGTGCCTTGTATATATATTATGCATAATGTATATAGGAATATAGGAAACTTTATATTTTCTCTTATTTCTTTCTTTTAATTGGCTAAGAAATCAGATACACTGTTGGACAATAACCAATAAATGATTTGTTAATGTACTACAAACACTTTTTTTCATTTTTATCACATAATATGGCAGAATAGTTTCTGTAGCCTACTGTAATAAATGCTATGTCAAGTAGCACTGAATTGTTCATATACTTTATTTATTACCTGGAGATGATTTAAAAAAGCACAAATAAACCATATATTGTCGCAATCGTGTGTTTAATGTCTTCACGCTTCCAAAGATTTCTGCCTTTTATTCAGATTATACAGTGATAGCTGGACGCTTTTGTCCATTAGGGCTGTCAAAAAATGTTTGAATTTCTCACGCCACTGAGAACTGTAGTTTTTACCAAGCAAACAGCAAAAATGGCGAGAAAGACCGTGGCATCTGGGGGAAGTGGCGCTGTGACCTGCCGCTGCCAGAGAGAGCGCCAGCCCTCGCTGTTTATAATTAGATACTGATGAACTTTGGGCTTTTTGAGCTGACTTCATGAGCATAATTAATCACACTGTGTCAAATGAATCACTAAATCGTTTTTGCACCTGTTTGGAAAAAGAAAAGATTTGTGAAAATGAGTAAGACTTCCTATCTCTCTACCACAAAAACCTCCTGATGAGGTTTGCATTGAGATTATTTATTGCTGGTTGTGAGATAATGCTTTATAACGTTACGTTATAATAGTCATCTGACTTCTGTGAATGTTTCATCAGCTTTTTGTAGACCGCCCACAGTTTGACCATCACACGTAGGCTGTGTGTCCAAACCTAGTGAGCTGTCTGCCTAGACAGCATTTGGACTTCACAGGCGTGTTCGAATGTTCAGCCACAATGCTTCTGTCAAGGAACCACTTCCTTTTCACCTCCTGTTAGCATCTGTACTCGGGCACATTTATATATAGATCATGCGGAAGTCTAGGAGGCAGATATTAGTGTAAGAGGAAATACTGGTACCCTGTTCATATACACCTAAACTGGACCTGTATTACTAGTGCAGGCTTACACTGTAATCAAATCACTGTAGTTAGCATCTTTATAATTCACTATATATGAGACTATATATAGTTAGTCACTATATATGAAACAGTTGACCATTGTCTTTACTTAACAATGCAAAGGTCCTCTGAAATGTCTCTTACTCTTCAGGATATGGTTAAATACACTGCAACATGTTACATGTTGTTACCTTTTATTTATTTTAATTCTTAAATTATGTGTATTATTAGACTGATGAATCTTCTTGTTAACATTATTTATGTGGTGTAACTTTTGTACAAATGGCTGTATATCTCCTCTTCATCTTCTGCTGTCTTGTATTTTTTTATGGTTATTTGCTACTTTTGTTATAGCAGCCTGTATGTTTAGAAGCACATTTATTTGAGATGGGTCATATTTTGTTAGATCTTAAAGGGGTCATATGATGTTGCTAAAAAGAGCATTATTTTGTGTATTTGGTGTAATGAAATGTGTTTATGCGGTTTAAGGTTCAAAAGACACATTATTTTCCACATACTGTACATTATTGTTTCTCCTCTATGCCCCGCCTTTCTGAAACGCGTCGATTTTTACAAAGCTCATCAGTCTGAAAAGCAAGGTGTGCTGTGATTGGCCAGCTATCCAGTGCGTTATGATTGGCCGAATACCTCAAACGTGTGAAAAGGAAAAATTGAAATCGCATCATATGACCCCTTTAATTAATTCAGAATCTATAAATGTCACTTTTAATTTCAAAGTTGTCAAAGAGTACTGTTTAAAGGTAGGCTACCAATCAATAGTTTGGGGTTATTCAGATTAAGTAGATCTTTAGACCCAAACTTTTGAATGGCAGTGTGTATTCTGGGTTAAATACACATTGTAACTCTCTCTAAGATCTACAAGTTAAGCATGCTGTCATTACTACAGTAAATATTTAAACACCCGTTGCAGTGCGTATGAGCAAACAAGAAATGTGTGTACAGTTACCCCATACACTTCCATTGCAAGTGCATTCCTTTACACATTTTTTAAATGAACAATTGAAAAAATAACAATTTAAAAATAATATTCCTGAAATATTAAACTTTTATCTCACTATATAATATGAAGATAAAAATAAATATAGAATCTACTGTGTTCCACACAATCTTCACAATACCTCGCAAATGACAAATTAATTTTGTCTTTGATTTGGATGATAGCTGCTCTCCAAACTGTTTTTTTTTTCTTATAGTTTTGCTTGGGATTAGATTTATGAATAGCCTCTCACCTCATGCATCTCTTCCCACACAGAATTGCCATACTTTTGATTTGTTATAAAGTATTACATTTCAGTGTAGTTTCTCCCCTCATTTATTTTAATGGAAAGGACAGTATGAAGTGTGACTTGCGATAATTGTGACAAAAAGAGACAGTCAAAGTGCTCAGAGATTGTTTTTGGCAATGCCTTTTTAGTTCAACCTTTTAGTATGTTATTATTTTTGGGTGAAACAAATTAGAAAAATGTTTCTTTGGTTTGTTCTTGTTATGTGAGACATGCTTGTGGAATTTATTTGGTGCAAAAAAAAACCTACATTAATGTTTTCTTTCTTTTCCTGCCAACTATGAGAGTATTAGTTACATCTAAACACCTGCTTCATTGCAAACCATGCACAAAATGGGTTCATGCTTTTAATGATATTACAGTGTTTCTTTATTCTTGTCTTATAGGAATAATTACTGACTATGGTCCTGTTTCTCTTTTGATCAGCTGTATCAGTGAGGAGCAGCTATGGCTGAAATCACCGCCCTCACTCCCTCCCCTCCCAGTATGGCCGACCAATCAGTGCCTGCTTCCTCCAGCCCACAGCCTCTCCCCTCAGAAACTCCCATCCCAAAATCATCTCTCTATGGGGACCGAGCCATGATGGGAAACCCAACATTACTGACGAGTGGGGAAAACTCCTCTTCTTGGGAAAGCACACCTGGCCAAAACAGTGCCGCTCTGTCTTCAACAGCAACAGAGAGCGCCTCTGGTGCGCCGGTAGAGCTACCAGCTGCTACAGATGGAGAGACTAATGGGAAAAATGATTTAGTTGGCCAAACGGAGCGGCACACTGAAGCACAGGAGCAACAGATGTCGCCGTCGCCTGAACTTAATCCCAGTCCTAATCTCTATCCCAACGTTCAAGTTAACCAGACTTCCAGTCCTGCTCCCTCTGTGGACATTCCTCCTCAGTTTACACCTCCTGTTCCCGTCTCCAACCCGGCCCCCTCTTCACAAGACTCCAGGCAAACAGAAGCACAAACGGTCCCCCAGCCCGAGCCTGCCCAGAACCCCGAACCCAACACTCCCAGCACCGCCAAGATGACCCCTGAGCCCCCCTGCACACCTTCCAAGACTGAGCCCCCAGCAGTGCTGGTGCAGGAGTCAAGTGGGTCCTTGGTTCTGCCCTTCGCTTACTCGCGACCAGCCCCGGACACGCTCAGCTACCTGGAGTCGGCCAGCCTAATGTCTGGCACGCTGGAGTCTCTGTCGGGCCTCGGCGAGGATGGTAGCTCGGTGGGGTCAGACTCGGAGATCAACGGTCCAGTGAGGCGTACTGATAAATACGGCTTCTTGGGGGGAGCGCAGTACAGTGAGGGCAGGTGGGTGTGTGTGTGTGTGTGTGAGAACTGAATGACACAAAACCACATTAGCACATGCTATTTTTATTGTTTCCTTATAAGCACTCAGAGTGAAGAGAAACCACATTAGTTTATAAGAGCATTTGACATATTTCAGTATGTGTTACCAGGGTATAAATTTATCCTGCAAGCATATTAAACATTTTCTGCATTTGCGTTTCGACTGTACATGCTACTTAAAACTTAATTCTGAGATTAATGTAATATTTGAATATAATTTTACTTAAAATTAATGTTACTTATCAAATTATAGTTCAAGTCAACAGGAAACCCTTCATAAACCATTTTACTTTCATAATCTGATGTTTTTAAATGTATCAGGATATTCATCTGAATATAGTAATGATTTTAATGCTGTTTTACAGTATTTGACCATTATGCGACCTTAAAACCAGACTAGTTTTGTGATCTTTCCTTGTTTTACAACTCTCATTTCTAGTTTAAACTTAAGTATCAAAAATAGTTTTAATGCCCGTTTCTTTCAAGAACAGTAACTATAACGATAACTATAAAGATAACTAACTATATAAGCATGCACATTAATGCACAACAGCGTTCTGCTTATTATAAATACATGTTGTCTGCCACTATAAATGCTCGTGCTCTTTAACCCTTTAACCCTCTTTAGCTGGATTCTGATTGGTCAATGTTTTTATTGCTCATCAGTTGGAAAAAGTACTTCTGAAAGTGCTCTTACAAACATCAATCCTCTGTCGTTATCATTTTCGTGATGGTGTTGACTTACCTTTCTCATTAAATTAGACTATTATTATGTTAATTAAACTTTATAGTTCTTCCTTGGTTGTGAACTGGCTTTAGGAATTAGTTCATTTTTATGAATTAGTTCAAACCTTCAGTTACAAAGGCAAAAATTAAAACTATACTTCATTTTCATGATTCACCTTCACTACAGATATTCTGAGAAATCTGTGTTTTTTCTATAATAAAAATAATATTTATTGAATGTTTTAGTAAAATAAAGTAGGTACATATTTATATTTATTGTAGAAAGTTTATTACTATTTAATACTGTTAATTTTGAGCAAAACAATGAGGGAACAAGCATCGATTGTTTTAAACTAGTGCTTTAGTGTTTGTAAGCCATGTTTGAGTGCATAAACATACTGAATATTGTCAGGAAAGTTTGAGAGATTTTGTTTAAATCACCCATCCCCATAAAGATTAAGAAACGATTTGATTGACCGTAGTTGTGTTTGAGGTTCATTATTTATATAATTGAAAATTTTATATATATAGTTTAAATTGAAACTGATATATTTTGTATTATTTAATTATTCACATTCTAGGGTATGGCTCTAGTTCATTCCTTGGTTTGATAAATCAGAGTAAGCATTTATAATGGATGTGAATGGCAGAGTAATTGGCAGCACCTGATGTGAAGTGTGCTGTTAGGATATTAATTATCCACGCCTCCAACCGAGAGCAGGATAAGCATTTGGTGCAGTTTTCCTGTGTCCATCTCTCTTGCTCCCTCTCTGTGTCCTTCATGTGTTTGTTGTGAGTGACTCAGATCGAGCTGAGAGGGCTCGTCTGAGTCAGAGTGCACTGACTGTCTCACTTTTTGTCTCTCTCTTCCCCCGACTGTCTCCGCTTTATCTCTAGTACTGACTAATTCTGCTAAAATGGGCACCAACACTGTCGTTTACATTTGAATGTTTCCTTTTTTAAATTCCTGTTCAGCATTAACTTAAAGGGGTCATATGATGCTGCTAAAAAGAACATTCTTTTGTGTATTTGGTGTAATTAAATGTGTGTATGCGGTTTAAAGTAAAAAAAAACACACTATTTTCCACATACTGTACATTATTGTTTCTCCTCTATGCCCCGCCTTTATGAAACGCGCCGAACGAATGAGCGGCAATCACATGTGATGGACCCCGGGCTGGATTCCACTTCGTCCACGGTGAAAGATGATGTATTCCCTCAGCGACCAGCACAGATCAGCTCTAGGCATGACGAAGCGGATATCGTCCTCTTTTGAAAGACCAAACAAAGTAGTTTCGCTTTCACAACGAAGCACACAGCGTCTTCACGACATGGCTGCAGCGTCAACAAAACTACAGTGAGACTAAAAGTTACGCCTTCTTTCTTTGCGTGAACATTTGGGCGGCGTTATGCAACTCTTCCCACATAGTGAGGTAGATATGTGGGGGTGTGTTAGAACGAGCTGTTTTAGGTAGGTGTGGTTGACTCTTAACTTTTATAAAGAATATCTCTTTGGATTTGAGACTTTAGTCTTTGCAACTTTACAGATCTTCTTTATGCACCAAGAGCTTGTAACACTCCAAAGAGAAAGGAAAAATTGAAATCGCATCATATGACCCCTTTAAACAGCATTAACCACCACATGCTTTTTCAGCTATTTAAAAATGGTCAATGTTGGGTTAGTCTTAAATTAGACTTTCTCATATGGTCAGCGTGCTGTCTGTCAGATTTAGTTTTCTACTGTATTTGTTTGTAAGCCATTGTGTCAATCAGGCAAGTTCACAAGTACCTGATGAGGTTTCTCATCTGGTGAGGCTTCAAGGCTAAACAAATCTCAAAGACTATTTGCTAAAAGTCTCATATTTGCTACAGATTCATAAAAATATATAATAATAATGATAATAATGATATATATATATATAATTATTTTCTATATTTAATCAAATATAGCATTGTAGGGTACTTGCTGTTTGTTCGTCAGACTGGTATAGAAATCAGATTTGTTACTTCATATCAGAAGATCAATATCTTTTTTACTACTACTTATCTATATAGTAAATAATAAATTATTAATACATTCAATACACCTAAACAGTGTAGCTATGTTTAGAGACATTCTTTTCTGCTTGTAAGCCACTGACTTGTTCACAACGTTTTCAGATTTCTACTTTAGAATTCAAGTGAATGCTGACATTAACTTAAGTCAAGACTTTTTTTTTTTGACTAAAAGATTCCCGAATAGTGTAAATATTGACTCTGTGCTGCTATAAAAAATGTGTTCTGTGTGTCTAAGCATCTTTACCAGACTGAAATAGTGATATAGTGGCTTAATCATTAGTGTGAGTTTGAGGAAGGACTATCTTTTTTTTTGTTTGTTTTTTGTTTTTTTGACCAATGATAGTCTAGACTCTAGAGTTTCTGTCATGATGAAACTTTATTATTTGTTCAATTCTGTTTGGTGGCACAGAAACGGCACACTTTGCCTTTAAGTAGGACTCAAATCCGAGCCTCAGTTTCTATCTCTGGTATCTCAGGTCACTTCTAGTCTGGTATCATTACTACTGTCCAGTGATATATGCTTGTTCATTTGGAAGACGTAATTTCTTTACAAGACTACAAAAACTCATTATTATTTCATTATTAGTTCACCAATAACAGAATATTTCAGGGTTTCTGATTAGTTTCAAGAGATTCAAAAGCAGTAATTGTCTGTATTTTACAGGGGTCTGTTCTCTCAGATTCAATATAAGCTTTTTGTCAGAAGCACAACATTATCTCAGGGCATGAGTGGGTGCTTATAGGTTTATTTGTTGTGTGTTTGTGAATCCCTCTCTGTCTTGTAGTGAGGCGGAGCTCGCTGTGGCCGTGGCGAGGCAGAGAGAGATGAAATGGTTGGACATGTTCAGAAATTGGGACAAATGGGCATCTCGCCGCTTTCAAAAGGTCTGTTTCTTACTTAAAGGGTCATGGAAGGCATTATAGAAAATGCTGTGCCTGTGAATGTTTATAGTTTTTTCTTTGTGATGCAGGTGAAAATGCGCTGCAGGAAAGGAATCCCCTCCTCACTCAGAGCTAAAGCCTGGCAGCTGCTCTCCAACAGCCAGGAGCTCCTTGAGTCCAATCCTGGAAAGTTTGATGTACGGTCAGGTTTGATACGTCTTCTGTGAAGACAGTCATGGTGCTAAATCAACTACTCCCAAGTTCATATGCTGTTGCTGTAAAGACCGCTAACAACACTTTGTTAAACTGTCAAGAAAAATAAGCATACAGTCTCGAGCCCCGTCTTACTTTTGAAATGTTCTTACCATGTCTTGTAAATCTCAGTTTATCTGCTCAACACACTCTTCTTTTCTTATTTTACACTTTCTTACATTTGTTCACTTTTCTTGTCTCTCAGGAGTTGGAGCAAGAGCAGGGAGATCCGAAGTGGTTGGACATCATAGAGAAAGACTTGCACAGGCAGTTCCCATTCCACGAGATGTTTGCTGCTCGGGGAGGACATGGGTAAATAAATACAGATGAGGGTTTTATCAAGGGGAAGGGTGATGGAAGGCTTTTCTTTAGAGCATTACACAATCTAGGAAACTGAAGGAGGGGATTTTTTTCCCGTTGATTTTTTTAGTCTATTAGTCTGTATTCACTGCATAATGTGCATGTTGATACCAGCTTTGCCCCTCAGTTTTATACCCCACCTCTGCTTCTCGTTTTATCTATTATATATTAGGGAATATGTCTATACCCGATATCTAAGCAGGAAATGTCTAATCCAATTCAAACAGTATACTTCAAAAATAAATATAAGCAGTTCTTATTGTCCGATCTTTCATTAATTAGTTTCATTGTTATTTTTACCTAATGTGTGTGTGTGTGTGTGTGTGTGTGTGTGTGTGTGCTTGAATGTGTGTTACCTGTTGACTTTACAGGCTTTGTACCAGCCTCCGTATTCCCTATGCTTACCAAGGCTGCATTTATTTGATATGAAAATACTGTGAAATTGTATTACAATTTAAAATAACTGTTTTATATTTGAATGTGTTTTAAAATAAATTTTTTCCTAGAAATTAATTTATTAAAAATAGTTAGTTCCTGTGATCCAAAGCTGAATTTTCAGGAGTCAGTACTTCAGTCTTCAGTGTCACATGATCCTGCAGAAATCACTCTTAATATCAGGGCTCTACGCTTATTTTTCTATTTAAACTTTTTAAACTTAAAAAATCTAGGAGCACCAAAATTTGATAAAAAAATAGCCTTCCCATTACAAGGTGATATTTGACTCCTTAAAGTGATTTACAGTAGAATTTTGTTTTTACCTTCG